CCTTGAAATGGTTGCATGTGCGGGGACCCCTCGAACTCCAAAGAGGGTTTCACTTCTCCCTACTCCCCTTGCGTGTCTAATACTTCTTCCCCTTCCAAGTAAAGGAAGGACATATACGTTGGTCGAGCGACATGAGTGGTGCTGCGGTGCTGCTGTGCTGCGGCGTCAGCCCCACCCTCGCTCACTCCACCTTTTGACCTGTTCTCCTGGTCCAAGGTCTCATCAATTCAACATCTTTTCCCAAGAAGCCACGAGTTCACCAACAGAGGGACAGCAGATACTCCCACCTGAAGTCTAGAAAATGCAACATCCAGTTGAAGGCTTCGCAGATACACGATTCGCTCATCCCGAAAACCAAGCGCATGTCCTTCAGGCGGCATGGGAAAGCGAGCCGATACAGGAGCACGCACAGAGCTTCCCGTCCTCTTACCACGAACCCACAGTTCGGACGTACGCGGGGATCAACAGCAGATCCAGCAATAGCATAACCTGCATCACGTGAACACCACACAGGAAAGCAAAGAACGATGTGTTACTTGTTATTCCAGTGCACACCTCTCCGTTGGCTTGTGGGTCTAACATAGCACAGGTTTGACGCACCCAGAACGACCAACCCCCCGCGACCCAGGGGATGCTGACATACTGCTGCTGCTGTTGTACGACATGCTGACACACTGCTGCTGTTGCTGGTAGCCGGAGTACACATGTCCGAGCCACAGAAACGATATTATTTAGCTGCCACATGCACTCACTTGCGATTGCGTGAAACGTAGAAAGTTGACGCAGTCCTGTGGGCTGAAGAATGCTGTCACGTCCCTACGTGCGATACTCGTGGGCGTGTCGTCGAGTTCCAGACGGACGGGCCATCGCGTAGATGAAAGCGATGTTGTACACGAACCATATATCGGTGTAGACTTCGAATAGATTACGGCATCGAAGCATGACCGAAGCACGCTATTTGCGCTCGATTCGTTCGCGAATACGTAGGCGGGACATGGTAGCCTCGCCCACACACTCAACAGTAGGAGCGCTGCAGAGCGCTCTGTCAGGAGACAGCTGTTCACGCAGCAGGGCAGCAGGCAGCGACGGAATGAGAGGGACTATCAGGACACTACTACTGTCCTCCCCGGCCAATCACTTTCGCCCCAGTCTGCAGGCCTTAAATCGTAAAATATTCGCCTGCAGGAAGTTTCCTGAAACTTTCTTATCTCAAAATCTGTTTCTTTTGCTCAAGAATGCTGAATATTTTTCTGCAGGGAACAAAGAAAACCAAGACACAAAACAACTAATTGAGAGCGAAGATAAAGCGCCTTCTTGCTCCCAACGTTTCTCATCGGACAAACCCGTTAGTAAGCTGCCTTGGTTGCCCAACTATTCATCTTTTTGTTTTCAGCCTCTGGCCTAAACAGATCTTACTCCATTAGGCATGTCCGATGCTCTACCCGATTCGCAAGATATACGTCAATTAATTGACTTTTACCTGAATCGGTATACCTTCGCATATGGCGTCAGCTGGATACTGGTTCGAATCTCCTTGGGTGCACACCTTTTCTCCTGACTTGGATATTTTCCCATGGACACAATGTGTGTCAGTCCTGAGAACACCTCTTGGAGTCGATCCTACATAGAACCTTGTTCCATCGAATTACCCGTCCTGGCCACAAGAGGTTCCCAGTTGAGGGTAAATTCTGTGGGTGGAGAGGGTTAAGGAGGACCCGATTCGAAGGGTATCCGTCGATTGACTTTTACCTGAATCGGTACACCTTCGCATCTATCCCTCCGTATTCCGTGCAAGGAACCGACAGGCCATGAGGGCAAACGGTCGTTCCCCTACACCCAATCTCTCCTATCCCTCTCACAGAGCGAAGGTCTCCAACACGCGCACGCACGGATCAGTCCTCCAAGCGATCCACAACCTTCTGTGCCGTCTGTTGATACCCCGGCCCGATGGTCCGGAAATGGGTTCGTGATCTCACCCCCTTCCCTCTGCGCTCGTGCTGGCCTGGGCGTCCTCCCCTTGTGCACCTGATCTTGTCTCATATACTACACGCAGCACAACAGTGGGAACACAACTTCGAGGGTCTCCTCATAGGTCGCAAGATATTCACGCATGCTGTTGAATAGCCCCGGGATGAGTGACGGGGAAAGAGAATTGGTCGTCCAACCCATCTCTTCTTCCCCCGGCAATACCTTCCATCAAGATGTGACAAGTCGGTAAGTGATGGTCGTGCGTGTCCACCGCTCCATCTCCTCGCTGTCTCGTTGTATTTGACATATTCTATTAGTTCAGCGGGAGAAACAAGGTGGTGTCCACGCACCCTTTTTTGCGAACCACCTATCAATTCAGATGTTCTCAGACACGGACCAAAATGTTCCAAACCGTGTCGTCCAGACTTTCTTCCGGCAACTCCTTTTGAAGGATAGTACCGAACAACGCTCGACCCCTCTCCCTAATGTCCTGCTGTTTCCACCCTGAGTCCTTGGTAAGTTTGTCGACGTTGACGGCGATCTCGTGCTCTTTCCAACGTAAGATCCCATCTGCGAGAATGTTCCTTTGACCAGGTATGTGCGTTGCCACGTGGCACCAACCGCAGGCGATTTCCATCCTTCCCATGAGTCTCATTATGAGGCTCGCTCGCCTGTCGCGAGATCCGCCGCACCTATTAGTCCAACTGACTGCCGGCACGTTATCCCCACGCATCAACACCGACTGCCTTTCTTCTACGGGCCTGTCGTTTAAGATCATTTGAACTACCCACGCCGTCATGAACATGTCGATCAGTTCCAACAGATTGATCGTTATGTCCGACGTTTCCCTCGCCTTTGCCTTGCGCTTGAGATCCGTCGATGAGGTCGGTTCAAGTGTGTGTATCTCCAGAAAGTCTTCAGTTCATGGCAGTAGCCACCAATCGCTGTGAAGCCAGCGTCTGAGAGATAGAGGCGAGATGGAGTGCGCTTTACGTGGAGTAAGAACGATGCGCTGAGGGACTCCCCTCGAAGTGCCAGAGGCTGGGTAAGTACCCACTTCCCGAAGGCAACATCGCCGTGGAATTCCCGACCCAGATCCACTAGTCTCCGAGATCGTGTGTGTCGACTGGCTTGAGTATGCAGCCCTGATAGGCGGAGTAGCTGCCACACGAAATACCTGCCGGCTCTGATCACGTAAGTCAGGTTCCAGAGTCTCCCTGCCAGGCTGAGGACTTGTTGAACGCTGGCCTGCTTTCGATTGCCGGGCCATTCTGCTTCTAGGGTGTTTCTAATCGCCCTCACCCTGTTGGGAGTCGTCGCGATTCGGCCGCCGTGCGTGTCGGTGGTGTACCCCAAGGCCTCTATGACCGTATTCCAGTCAGTGCTCTTTTTCGGAGCGAGAATGGGTGTCTCTCCTACTCCTCCCGTGCCAAACAATCTGACGTGGTCTGAAGCTAACGATATTGAAGCAACGAGTGCCGATTGGTCGGTGGGATCATGTAGGACCTTCGTGAGCAGGAAATCGTCAACATACACCCTGGCCAAGAACTCGTCCGTGGGTCCCCCGCCTCGATGCGGTTGTACGTTTGCCAATGCTGGAATAGGAGTTGGGCTCCCCTTTTCCCAGGGGGGAATGGTTTTGACATGGGACATCATCGCGACCCCTTCTGGGAGTAGTCGTGCGTTCGCGAGCGATGTGTTGCGGTGCAAGTGATCTGCAGCTGAGGCCAGAACGCCCCATAATCCTGGTGACGCCGCCCAGCCGAATGTCAGTCGTAGGTTCGCTACTACAAGCTGGTTCAGGGAAATGGATACAAGAAGATTCAACAGCAAAACTTCACGCCGTTTTAGGAGTTAGACTCTGAAACTTTGCACACATGTACCTTGGGTCATTACAAAACGCTGTGTGGAGGGTACTTTTTTTTTTTCCCTGTCGCCGGATATCCGGGGTCCTAGAGATTTCGGGGTCGTGTGCGGCTCCTGGGACCCCGAATAACTGGCGACCATGGAAGGAAANAAGTGATCTGCAGCTGAGGCCAGAACGCCCCATAATCCTGGTGACGCCGCCCAGCCGAATGTCAGTCGTAGGTTCGCTACTACAAGCTGGTTCAGGGAAATGGATACAAGAAGATTCAACAGCAAAACTTCACGCCGTTTTAGGAGTTAGACTCTGAAACTTTGCACACATGTACCTTGGGTCATTACAAAACGCTGTGTGGAGGGTACTTTTTTTTTTTCCCTGTCCCCGGNATTTCGGGGTCGTGTGCGGCTCCTGGGACCCCGAATAACTGGCGACCATGGAAGGAAATGTAATAGGCCCCGCCACACAGCGTTTTGTATTGACCCAAGGTACATGTGTGAAAAGTTTCAGAGTCTAACTCATAAAAACGGCGTGAAGTTTTCAGCCCTTGTGCCATGAAGTATTTCGCATCCTGGATTTCCCCAAACTACTTGATTAAAGTATGAAACGGCGAAATTCAGGTTCTTTTGGCGCCCAAACGACCCCATTTCATCAGTTTATCGAGTTAGTTCATGAAAACTCATAGACACGGTCTTTGGAATATGTAGGTAAGGCAGAATCAAGAGAAAAAAAAAACACATATTGGGACAGGTTTTTGGGGTCCCGCATAAGGGGCTATCTCCAACGCAGTTTGGCCCACCGACGGCAAGTAAGTCATAAATCGACCATTTTTCGACCGTATTAGGCCAGTTTATGGAAGATGTCGACGAAACTCCAAGCGAAGCTTCATTGCACTGTAACGGTGTCGTTGGTTAGAGAAAGAATCACAAACAGCCATGTTACCGGCATGTTGGGGTCTGCAAGAGAATCTACCTACTTTTTAGACGGAAACACCGACCGTGCTGCCCCGAAGAGAGATTTTTTATCATCGCAGCGCGGCCTTGTGCCAGCTTAATTGGGTGATAAAACACTGTTGATTCATGCACCGAAGACGCAAACATGCCAACATGCATGGACCGGTTTGCTGAGGGTCACACCGC